AAAAAAACGCAGAAGGGTTTTTGTGCTACTAGCTTGGACGCGGTGTAGGGTGGGGAACGCTGACAGGCTAGATGGGTAGGTTTCTGTGTCAGATGGTGTGTCTTCACGAGATGTGAGGTGAGGGCGGGGATGGTATGTTGTGGGGTGGTGTGTCTCATACTACAGTGGTGGAACTGGTTTGAGGGGTGGTGTGTTGATTGATACAGTGGTGGGTTTTGAGTCACAGGGTGGTGTGTGGATTTAAAGGATGAGTCGAGTGTATGAGTCTCCCCTTAGGGAATCTCGGACTTGTCCGTTTTGAGATCCCTCCAAGATGCTCCTCAAGATCTAACTTCATCTTGGCAGGGGTATCTCGAATACCATTGGGTGATAAGTATGTCCTTATGACCTAATGGTATTAGGTACTTACATAAGTGTTCAGGTGCTAATACTCATAAATTAGTTATCATCAACTCTAGTGCTGGTGTAGATACTTTCACTTCACCTATGTCACACTCTAGTTCAACTATCTCAACCAAACGTGCTAGTCTTGTTGATGGGCCTGCTTCATCCATCGTTTGCGCATTATATTTGTTGTATGAAACCAAATGAAGCTAAACGTGCATGGGAATTTGACCCTCTTGTGGTCTTGGGTCAACTTCGAGCTTGTGGTCTTTTGATGAGCATCAAAATCAGTGCTGCTGGTTATTGTACACGGTGGACATTTGAAGATTTGGCTGAACGGTATATCACTTTGCTTATATTTTCTTGCATTGATCTTTATATTGATCTGTAATCTAACATGGTGAATAGGTACTACATGTTGATGAACTTGAAATCATGGAAAAATGAAGTTGAAGCAATCTGTTTGAGTATCTTATCAAACACCATCAAAGAAGAAAACAAATATCAAGTAGCATTAACTAGATCTTCTTTAGAGCGGCAAAGTTAGCATATTTAGAACACGTGTGGACCGATCAAACCAATGAGAAAATGCATTTTGTGAAAATATGTTGTTGTACGATGAAGTTGGTGTGATTCTGAATCTCAGCTGAGTTTCTTTCTTTGTTTGATTCGAAATGATGATCGTGATTTCAGATTCATCACATTCTTTCATCATCAAAGCTAAAATCTGATTCAATTACAATCATCATCAAGTTTCATCTCAATTCAAAACGGTTTGGATCGAATTACATAAAACTCGATTCATTAAGTGTACCTCTGAAGGAGAAAGAATCATATCGTCATCTGGACAATTTGTATCACCAGAAAAGTTTCTTCAAGGTCTAAGCTTAAAAGATGTCAACATCAGCAATCTCAGATAATAGCATAGAAGATCAACTCACACTAGTCGATCATTCACTGGCCGTTAACCAATTTCAACTCGATCATTTGATAAACTATCTAAATCAATTATTACCTCTTATCAACAGTGCAACTCCAGAGCAATTAGCTTCTTCTCATATCTTCACTGCACCCAAATCTCTTGATAGGTTATATAAATTCGGAACCGATCAGAATTGTAGAGCAATTTACCTATCCAAAACTCGAGAACAGCAACTGGCTCCTCAATCAACTTCAAAATCAGTCGTAACAGGAACTGACCAGGATTCTACATTTTGATTCGT